CCACCGCCACCGCCACCGCCTTTGCCTTTTCCTTTCCCCCACCACGATTCCTCACCTCGGAAGGGTGAGGGAGCAATGGCACCCGTGTTGTACTGTTCCAAAAATGTGCCAAGCACGCTCTCATCGTGGCGATTTGGATCACGGGCGCCACCAAGCTGCGATTCACAGAAGTCCCACCAAGTCTGCTTGAACGTGGGGTCGATCCGCTGCATGTTCTTGATCTGCTGAACCAACGCCTCTTTGCCCGCCATGGCAATGAAGGTTCTGTTGCCAAAACGGAGCGTGTCAACAGGAAGATCACAAGCACACTTAACAGCTTAACACTTGACACTGAGAAATACACGGCCCAGTAGAGTGGGGCTTATGCTGGTGTTCGAAATGCCGAGGCTCTTTGCTGCCAGTACTAACTTAAGACTGCAGCGACACGATGCAGCGAGAACATCTGCCCGCATCCCTTGGCCAGTGCATACCCGTGCGTAAGGCGAGCCTGTTCACGAAGGCACTTTTTTCACTGCTTTCGAGTTTCGGTTTCGGCCTGCAACTACTACTAACTTTTCGTTTGGCGACACCATGTGTCAGAGCAATGCTGTCCACCACGGACCCACAAGATCGATTTGGAGTGGAACATGGCCATATGGTCTCAGCTCGGCAACAGCTCGTCCGCTCGTTAACGGCTTCGATGCCGTCGATGCCTTCTACGAAACATTACAATCACTAGATTTCGAAACCATAGGCCCATCACAGCTTGGCTAGGGGTGCTGCCTAGCAGCACCGTGTACACTTTCAAATCAAGCGAGAGCTCCCTGGCTGGTGAGAAAGCTCTCTAGGGACGGGGTGTCATGGCGCAACGGGTCTCGCATGCCGCCGCACTGACTATCGCAGTATGCCCACCAGGCCTCCTTGGCCGCAGGGTTGGACCGCTGCAAGTTCTTAACTTTCTCTACCAGCTCAAGCTTCTTGCCATCCGGCTCCTCGAAGCGGAATCTCTTCGCAGCCGGCTCCATGCTCATGCTGAAGACACTGTGTTTGCCCTTGCCTTTGCTCTGGGCAGTGATCTCTTCTATGTTGATGCCTTGTGACACGGCAATTCCCGAAAGGCCGTTGGCTGCAAGCTCTCCCACATAGTCAATGAAACTTTTGTGGTAGGTGTCGTCATGCTTGAACGGGTCGTAGACACCAGCACCGTACAAGGCACAGTAGGTCTGCCATGCATTCTTCCAATGTGGAGACGCCCTCTGTCCGACCTTGACGAAGTCTGCAAAGCTCATTCCGGCCATCATGGGCATACCCCACATGTCCGGTGGCGGCATCATGTTGTAAGACATGTCACCCTTCATGCCCTTGCCCTTGCCCTTTCCCTTGTTCCACCATTCCTCTTCGGGCCGTGGTGCTGAAGGGGCAATGGTGCCGTTGTTGTAGCCTTCTACAAAATTGACTAGGATGCTCTCGTCGTGTCTGTTGGGATCACGTACACCACCAAGTTGTGCTTCGCAGAAGTCCCACCAGGTTTGCTTGAAAGTGGGGTCGCCGCGCTGCAAGTTTTTGATCTGCTGAACATACTCCGCCTTGCCCGCCATGCTAAGATACAGGAGCAGGCGCCCGCGCCAACTACTCCGAGCGGCACTACACCCATGAACCGGTGGAGCCAAAACTCCTGCTGTGGCTATTGGCTGAAGGAAAGTCGAAAAAAGAAGGGAGGTAACATCGCAGATGGAAACAACTGCTTGACCTGCAACGTGAAACAGAAGCAACGAAGAGAGCGGAGGGACCTCTTCGCGTAGGCCAACAGCTGCTCACGCAACCATGGTCCCACGTCGGCTAACTTCTTGTTGCCACCGGCGTCACCTGGGCCAACGACTCAGGCAGTGAAGAAGCGCTTTGTAGCAGAAGCAGCGTTAAGGGAAACGGTGCTCTGAAATGTCTGAAGCGCCGGCGCTCACCGGAGCTTTTCAGAAGCGTGTCACCGCAGCCCTCGGCCACCACAATGACGGCCTGGGTCGTTTTAACAGCATTATGGGTGCCTGGCAAACACCTCGATCTGAGATCCTACCCTGCTTCTGTCGCAAAAGACGTTGGTAGCAAGAACGAACTAGCGGCACTACTGAAGCAACCTGGCGAGAACATAGATCGATTTCAAGCTTCCTTTCGCACAGCTCATTCAAAGGCTGAGAATCCGGCATGACCTTTTGTTTTCATCAAATGCATTGCGTGGTGCAGAACCCGTGGTAAAGAGATGTCCATCTCGGGCAGTAGGCAAATGTCAACGCTGCCTGCACCGGAGCGCTCTTTCAAGAAATACCTTTCAGGATTATTCCGCATCGAAGGGTATCTGCACAGTTCGACTTGCAACCGCAGCTTTCAGAAGAACCGTGGCTCTAAGAGTCAGACGTGCTGCCAAGGTGGCATGCAGGGCAATAAAACCGCAATGCCGACCTTGGCAGGGCAGTGACTTGCAACCTTCCCGACACCGTTGTTTCCGCACCAGGCCCAATGCCCATGAGCTTCACCAGGCCAATGCAGTGCGAGTTGCACGTGGCCTCCACCTGGACATGTGAGCAGCAAGTGAAGCATTTCAGTATGTCAAGTCTCTTGTCCTGCCCAACTCCATGCTTCTCATGATTCTTGGCTCCAGGCGTAGGCGGAATCAATCGCCTGAGTCAAGGCATGACATGGGGACGAGCTCCTTCCCGCCATCTTTGGAGCCGCGAACGAAGATGCGAGCTCAAAAACGAATCTGAAGGAGGACATGCCAGCGAGCGAGCTCCATGGCCTTCTCCGCCTCACTGCAGGCAGTGTTGAAGCCGAAAGACCTCAGCACTCGTTGCCCGGCGTGTGCACTCATTCTCTTGATGCGGCCAACCTGTCGAGGATGGGGATGTCATTGTCAATGGTCTTGGGCACACCGACCTAATTATCCGGGAAGTCTTGTGAGTCTTGTGGCGAGCTCAAGCAGGGCGCTGCTTCACCATGCCCATCGCGACAGCACAGTGATGGGAAGTATCTTCGACCAACTAATTCGTGACAAAACACACGCAAGGTTTGCTGACCCACATGCAGGCCGAGGTGCCACGGCCACCTCGTGGCCAATCTCCTGTGTGCAAGAGAAGGTCTCGAACGCGCCGGCTTGCGTGCCATCGCCACCAATCACGAAGTATTGCTTGACATTCCTCAGATCTGCAGAACCCTTCAAGCTCAGGTGTTGGAGAGCACAATTCTGTCACATGCTAGCAAAACATGGCAAAACTGCGGCAACGTTGTACCATTGCTTGCTCTGGCAATCAACTTTTCCCGCCCTGTCATCCATGACAAACCTTTCCAAAGTCAGCGAACCTCCATGTTTTATAGTGCTCACGGTTGCCACACCAGTCTTAGTCCTCAATCATGCAGTTCTCAGAGGTCATCTCAGGATTAGAGATGCACTCCGAATACAAGCAGGTCCCGCATCGCAACCGTCTGCGAACAGTTTGGCCTACTCACTCAGGCCCCATCCATTTCTGTACCGTTTGTCTGTTGCCTTGTCTGTGGAAGTGCCGCAGCTTTGAATGTTGGTAGGAGTTATGAGCCCTGCAGGTGTACCTCATCTATCCTCAGTAGCAGTGCAGTGTGCGAGCGCTTCTGGAGGCATTGCAACCCGACTTGGCGCACCGAGCCGAAGGGCGTCAATCGCGCGATCTCACTGCCACCGAGCAGCTGCTTCTGCAAAGTCTGGGCAATTTCCATGTGCGCAGGGTTGCCTAGGATCAGAACCAGGCCAAACCGATGAACCATGATGAACCGAAAAGCACACAACCGCATGCCCTGCAAGAGCATGCTTTGACATGCACCAAGGAGCCACGATCACTGACAAGGATGGTGCCTCCTTCCTTGCGGAGGAACAACACATGGCACCCGGACCGCATGTTGCAGACTTTCCAAGCAAATCACGCCCCAGTCCTTGTGGATGTCCTGCACAACATCCGGCGTCAGGGTCATCCAAGTGTCGGGATGCACCATGCCTCCAAATCTTGCAATCAGGCAAGAATAAATTGCACATATGTGCGATCCTTTTCCACAACGCGCTGCCTTTGTAGCCTCCCCTGCAGCCGTAAATGTTCTTTACACCGTATCGGGCCAAAGTCATCACCTCAGCCACTCCCGTGTTGCAGTTCTGTGACTGCGCTCAGAACACCGCAATCGATTGGTCAGAAGTGCTTAGCCGATGCCAGCACACAAAAAATGCCGGACTCTCAGACTTTTCAGTGCCCAGAACAAGCTTTTAGGTGCGGACTAACTCGCGAATCACCTGGGCAGACATCAGAACATGGCTGGGCACCTTGCTGCATCACCGACTTTGTCGTCGCATTCTGAGGTGATGGCGGAGTTCAAGCCGGGGCACAAGCCTTTGAGGTTGGAAGTCTACAGAACGTCTCTCCCGACACGGAGAGTGCGAAGCCTCCACAAGTGACGATCACGGCCGAGCTTGCAGTTGGAGCCTGAGAAGCAAATTTTAAAGTCCGACTGCTAGAGACAAACCATTTCTTTGGGCAAACCTCGGCAGTTGCAGGAAGGCTGCGATGCCCTGGGGGCTTGGGACTACGCGACCACTCCCGGGCAACTGGCAAAGTGCAAAATCTTCCGTGGGCCGCTGCGCAAGAGCTGGAGGTAGGCCTCAGGAACTAGAGCTGCAGCGCAGCAAGTTGCAACCCCGTGGCCGGACTGCGTCGGACTGTTGCCATGCATACGCCGGCTAAGTCTCCGGCACGGCCCCGGTCATCACGACGGTTGTGGCGCATGAGCGTCTGCGTTGACCAGGAGTCCGGGCCCATGGCCATATCGCCAGGAAACTGGAGCTCATTCACAACCTGCAGGCTGCGAAGACAACATGGGCGTCTACTTGCTAGCGACACAATGCCAGCGATACAAAAAAAAAACTACTAGTAGCATGATGTAGCCTTTTCGGCATGGCTCTGAAGCTCCAGCCTGTGCTGATGGGAACTGGTCGCTCAAGTTGACCACCTGCACAAGGGCATTGACACAAGATGTTGTGCTCGCTGGATGCGCGGATGTGCCGGCTCGACTGTTGTTGGTCCGACCTCCCTTGATTGTAGAGGGATGCCTACATGAGGATCTTCAGGGTGGTTGTCTGTAGATCGGCTTTCGGATGCTTTGGGATGCTTGTCAGGTCTCCAGGAAGGGAACGTCAAGTCCAAGGCTCCAGGTTGTATTTACACTTTTCTCGTTTTCCTGCACGGGTCTGCGGTGAAGTAAGCCAAGGGCCTCCAGGCGTTTGATGGTATCGCCCGTCTGCAGCAGCTCGTTGATGCTGCTGTGCTTGGACAACGCCTTGCGAGGTACAGCGTCCAAACCGCGTCCGGCTTTCTGGATGTGTGTAGAGGTCAGGGCTGGTGCTGACGGCTCGGACGGTTCCTGGCAGCCATGCCTTTTTAAGCAAATAGCTCTTGCAGGCCCCAGGTTCTGTTGACCCGGCGCTCATAAGCTCCATGTCGGCCAGCATTGCCTCACAATTCCGGCAGTATTGCAAGCAGTTTCCAGTGACCCAACAACAGACACGTCAGTCCGTCGCGAGCTTGTTTGACTTCTACATAGTCTTCGGTGCGGTGAGATCTAATGCGAGACTGTCCTTTCACTGTGCAGCTAGACTCACATCACGCGTCGACTGGACATTCTTATCATGCCAGAAATATCGAATCAAACATCGCCTACACCTCAAACCCTGCAAGCCCTGCAGCGCCTGTCGCACCCATCAGAGTGCTCCTCATGGCACGGTGCCAGAAAGCATTGAGGAACAGCTGCCAGTCACCTGGGAGAGTACTGCAATAGAGGCGTCCGAAAGTCACAGTACTGAGCCACGACGACAAAAGGACACTGCCATTGCTTCCGTCTGATCAAACCCTACAAGGCTCCGAACCCTGGTCTGAAGAAAGTACTCGGTTAGCTGGGAGTCTCCTGGTTATTGCAGGTCATGTGGGCTTGGGGCCGGGCCGACATCATCACGCATCTTCAGCCCACTCGGGGCATGCAGCGCCCAGTTGTTCTCGATGCACTGGTTGCAGACCTGGCGCTGACATGGAGCCCTGGCCCTGACGCGCACTTCTTGCGGAAGCTGAAGCCAAGACGCCCCGTTCTCCAAAGCATAAGACCAAAGCTCGCGCGACCAATCCTGGAAGACTGCGGGAGTCTTAAGCAAGCTGTTGGCTCACGAGCAACCTGCTCGTCTTTGCAGGCTAAGCGTCGTAATCCTGAAGCAGCTCTCGGGTGGTGATGGATGCCTGGCTGCGCAGTTGGGTCACACTGGCACTGTGCCGAAAGACCAAGCGGAGCTGCGCCACTGTTCACCACTACACTGAGCACATTCAAGCCATCTCAAGCCATCTGGCCTCGCATGCCAAAGCCGGGTCACCAAGCTCTTGCAACGTCTTGCGGGCCTTGCGATGTCCACGTCTTGAAAACGACGAGGAAAATGCACACATTCAGGTGCATGCTTCGCATCAGCCCGGTGCATTGCATCTGTGACCACCTCCCTGTCCCGGCCTTCCTCCGGATGCGGCGTGGCCCTAACAGCTCGACCAAGCTGCGATTATCCTTGCGAAGGGGGCCAAGCAACGCATGAGGAAAGCTTTCGCTTTGGAGTGAACTTGCGGAATCCTTGGCGATCAACTCGAGCCACATCAGGTACTCCTTCCTCAGGTAAGATGTGATTGGACTGTGCATTGTACTCAGCGTTTCCAAGTGTTGAGGCAAGGCTCACGAAAACTGGGTTGTCGGCGTCGAGCTCGTAGGCCCTCCGATAGTACGGACCTGCACGTTCACTCTGCTGCAAGTCATAGTCCAGATGGTGCCTCAGCTGCTCGGCTCACGGCCTTCCTTACGAACCGAAGCGGCGAAGCACCAAGGTCTGAGTCTGCTGCCCGCGGATGTATTGAAATGCCGCATCTTCAGACCCATGCCTGCCCAACGGCACACTCGCAGCAGGCCACTATGCACGCCACTTCGTGCGGTCGCAAGACTGCTCTGCCCACTGGAATAGCATCTGGCTGACCTCAAAGGGCAACTGTTGACATCTCCGACTCTTTGCCAGACTGCCTCACCCACGAATGCTTCTGGCCTTGCCCTGCCCCATCTTTCGGAACGACAGCGCCAGGTCTGCAGCGCGCGAAGCACAGTGCGCCGGCTCCTTCGCTGTGAACATGCGTGAATGCGTCATGACATTTGTATGCCCAGGCCTCTGCAAGGCAGCGTCGCAGCATCGGCTCCCAAGTTTGAAGGTCTTCGACGCTGCCAGCTTTGGCACTCTTTGGTACCTCCTCACGACAAAATCAATGTCAAATGGCCCACAGCAAAGGGGAACGACATCTGTTGGCTAAGATTCCTCGTGCCGGCGCAATCGCAAGACTGCAAACTCTGCATTGGCCCACAGAAGCCTTGGACATCAACGTGTCAGCCCGCTAGGAAGCACCTCCCTTGCAAGCCAAGAAGCTCGAACAGGGGAGATGCCAAGGCCCGAGGACAGAACAGGTCCTGCCACGGGCGCTCGCCCTCCTTGCAACGTTGCGAAACGTGGTCAGAGCCGTATGAAGCAGGTCACAGCGAGGTGGCTGCAGGCTCCTTGCAGTTCACCTCGGGATACTTGTCCAGAAGGAACGGCCCGAAACCTGAATTCTGAATGCAATCCGCGTGCAAGCTTGGCATAGCCTCGAGTCGCATGAAATACTGGCGCCTGAGGCATGGGCTACATCGCTTGAATTCAAGGATCACGTATTGAGACCCATACTTCTGCATGGTTTTGGCGAAGCTTGCCTTGATTGGAAGACACAGAGCCACACGATGCTTGCATGGTTCATGCCGGTATTACCGGATGCGGTACTACTTCCACTGATAAGCTACCGAGCTGCCGGTGGGGTACATTGGTACCATTGATACAGCTCCTCTGGCCGTCACTGACTTTTGCACTCAGTAGAAGCATAGGGGACTCAGGATTGTCACGCATGTCTGACTTAATACAAGGGCACACACACCACCGACTGGACACCAAGTGAGGCAGTCGCAAAACGGTCCGTCCTGCACGCGGTCGCGCAAATGCTGTGCCTGGCAGGGCTCTCTGGCCAATCAACGCAAACTCGTCATTGCAGTATCCCGTTGGACTTTCCCCCCGACGTCTTGCTGCTTCCAGCAGCTGCCTCGAACTGCGGATGGATGGCCACACGCAAAGGCGTGGTCAGTCGGAGCTCTGCACTTAAAGGCATGGCTGCGAGGACGATTTCGTCCCGTGGCACATTCCGCCTTGAGCGGAGCCGGGGAAACAAGACTCGATGCCCCAAGAGACGAAGGACGAAAAAATCCTGCCAAGCCGAGATGCGCCATCCAGTTGAAAAACTCTCCGCGATCGCCGTCGGGCCAGGACTTGTCAGCATGGATGCCTTCACAGACCAGGCATTGGTTCTTCGCACGGGGCAGAAGCTGACGACTTGGGACTTAAGACTTGAGATGTCATGCAATGGCACGGTAACGCAACGTGGCATCAGTAATAATCATCAACCTGAATATCAATTCTGTGACCAGGGCACTGACATGCCTGTTCTCGATGAAGGGGAGCTTGTATGCTAAAAATGCCAGCTGTCCCAGCTGAGCAGCTGCAGCGATGGCAAAAAGGCCTATCCTCACGCCACTTCTGCCGACACAGCTCGATTCCGGCACAGTTCCGCAATACCCCATCAATGCAAACCATCCCTCGGACAATGCCAGTGTTTGTTGCCGGGAGTCCGCAGCGCTCGCAGAGGCCGTGGCCCGGCCGACGCAGCGCCAAAAAATGTGCTCAGCGGTCGAGGGCCCAAACCCGCAGTCGCCCAAACAAGCAGGAATGGGACGCCGATACCTTTGCATGCACTGCTCAACCGCAGAGACGCAGCTTGAAAACGAAGCAAAGGGGACCCCAAAAGTCTTTGGACAATAGACCGACAAAGCCCAATTGAGGAAACCGTTGAACATTGGGCATTAGATGGTCTTAGCCCTAACATGTCGTGGACATCGCGGCTATGATTGGACCATATTGGACCCGGGGCCCTCGCCGCTACAGATTTTGGAGTAGTCGGGACCCTTCGTTACACGACCTGGAGGATCCAAACAGATGCACAACGGAGCTGTAGCGGAGATGTAACGGCGCTGTACCGGAGGTGTACCGGCGCCGTGACGGAGGTGGAGTGGCGCTGTAACGGAGGTGTAACGGAGCTGCAACGGAGATGTAACGGAGATGTACCGGAGCTGTGTCGGAGGTAACCGAGCCGTAACGGAGGGGGAATGGGAATGGCGCTGCAACGGAGCTGTTGCGGAGTTTTGACGGAGATGTATCGGAGATGGAACACGCCGTAACGGAGGTGGCATGGTGCTGCAACGGAGGTGTAACGGAGCTGTGGCAGAGATGCAACGGGGCTGTTACGGAGGTGCAACGGAGCTGTCACGGAGGTGTAACGGAGATTTCACGCAGGCGTAAACGGAGCTGTAACAGAGCGATAACGCTGTAACGGAGGCGTGACGGCGCTTTAGCGGAGATGTGCAGTAACGGAGATCTAGCGGAGATGTACCAGAGCTGTACCGGAGGTGCAAAGGTGCTGTCAAGGAGGTGTAACGGAGATGTCACGGAGGTGTAACGGAGCTGTAGCGGAGATGCCACGGAGCTTCAATGGAGGTGAAACGGCGCTGTAAAGGAGGTGTAACGGAGCTGCCACGGAGGTGTAACGGAGCCCTCTAGCAGAGATTTAGCAGAGCTGTAACGGAAGTGTAACGGCACTGTAACGGATCGAGGCTCTGGTCCGTGTATCTGGAATGCGTGGCGCACACCGCCCCGAACCTGTTACAGAGTGCGGGATCCTGATGATAAGCCCCATAGCAGGACATGGTGGAGTTATAACTTAAAACTTAAAACCCGAGTTGAACACATTGCGGACTTATATAGGTTCCACGCCCCTGCGGACAAAGTGCACTTGAGTCGACTTATGAAGCAGCCGAGTACCAAAAAAAGAGCTGTCTGGACCAGCAGCACGCTGGAGCCGAAGGCATGTGCATAGCCTGACCGGCTTGCGAAGAATTGTCCAAAGAAAAGATCGTCGACTTGAAGACTAAATTACACGCAGGAGCTCAAGCGGCCTTCACCAAGTGCTTTCTCTTCTCGTCCTTCCTGTCCTGCCTGTGGCAGTATGTTGACCATGAAGGCGCCTGTGAACCAAAAAGGACAATGTCAATCGAATCTGCGCTCTTCGCCGTGCACCTGCTTGAAGAAGGGCGGCCGCTGCCGCAAAATGGTAGACTTTGGTCTGGAAGCCCACTTCGATGTTTTTCCAACCTTTCGATTGCTAACTGCGCCTTCTCATGTCCAAAATCTGGTGTAGCTCGGGTCAGGACTGATGAAATCAAATACGCTGACAGCATTGTAGAGCCTGGGGAGAGTGTCATCGTGGACAGTGCTGTCAATCTGCCACCATTCTCGGACATCACCCGCCGGCCTTGTATTGAAAGTTGGCTCCTTCTGCTCTTTGCCCAGGTAAGTCGGGAAAAGGGTACGCATTTTATTCCTTGCAGCGCAGACTGCCAGTAGCAACACCAACAGGAAACAAAGCAATGCCTCCTTTGAGGCGCGGACGAGTACAGCTCCCAAACATGCTCATCTGCAGTGGCAAACGGCATCTGGAGAACCCGCAGAAACACAAACAGGATAACCTCAATGCCCAGCATGGAACGGCTCTCAAGACATGCTCTCCCGACACGCAAGCGGTGCCGTGTGTGCGCCGGGCAGCGGCCAGAAATCCATCCAGCCAGAAAAGCAGCTTCCACCTTGGGGCGCGGCGCAACCAAAGGACCGTCCTTGGATCAGAGCTTCGAAAACATGTCTTCCTGTAAATTGCCAGGCCGCAAAATTAAGCTTGGTTCTGTGGTCCAGGCCTAGGCGCCGTGCTCATTCCACATCGCCGTGTAGGCGCTGCTCATGCAAAGTCGCGAACGACTGTGTCGACGTTTCCAGGCGCCGGCGTCGCTGCCGGGCTTCACGAACGACGATCCTGAAGACGTTTCCTAGCGCCCGTGTCGCTGTCGTCGAGGCGCCGTGCTCATTCCAAATCACGAACGACGATGCCGACGTTTCCAAGCATTGTGTCGCGGCCGTATATCTTAAACAAGCTCCCTCATTGGCGATTCCGGTTCATCACATGTCTTTCACACGCGCCCTCATTTGGCGATTCCGGTTCCTTCCAATGTCATCACATGACTTAAACTTTAAACACGCCCCCTCATTTAAGTTCATCGTCTATACATGCCCCATCTTTTGCCGATTCCGGTTCATCATACAT